GTAATATTCTTTAGCGAATTAGGATTTATAACAAATTACATTTCGGCTCAAAATTAACTCGAGCCAACTATTGGACCAACTAACTCGAGTCAAATATTAGTAGAACGAATCCAACTCCTGAGCCAACTTGAGCCAAATACAACTCATCTAGCCGGCTTGAGTCTACGCCAATTTTTACAACTTTTGGTCATCCCAGAAAATTATTAATTAAATAAACATATATCACCCGCATTTTATTTACGATATATGAAATATAAATATCTAAAAACTGATAAATTCCTATAATAAAGTTCAGTCCTATAAGTATTTAAAATTCGAAGCTAAATATTTAATTAATATTGAATTGAACTACTCGTCCTTTAGTTTTAAAATTGATTTATTAATCAAAACTGGCGTTTGCGATTCGAGTTTCTAGTGTAAAATAAAAATTATAAAATATTTTCAGTTTAAGAAGAAAATAATTATTAAAAAAAGTAATCTTAAAGATAATTATTTCTATGCTAATATCAAAATACTAGTCCTCTATGCAAAAAATATGATTGAGAAAAATAATAACAAAGATATTATAAATATTATATTAATAAGTTAGTTTTGGGTCAGTTTTCGGGTCTATGGATTTGGTCGACCAGTTTAACCCATTTGGTTGGGTTGGTTCTGGTACATTTTTTGACCAAAAACCCGACCAAGGATCATGCTAATCCCAACCAGCGTCTACATGACAGGATTTTCACTGGATGCAAACCCCTTTCAAAAACCTATTCCTACCCCAATAAAAATTTTTCGCCTCCATTTTTAATTTCACCTTTTTAATTAATAATACTTTTTCAGAAAACATTTTTATTTCAATGCTTATTTAGGGATGTTAAATGAAAAAAATCGGAATGTTGCATTATTATCCAATTGAAAATTTTTTTTATGACGACAATATTGGAAAATCTTGAAAAACATAATAATAAATGATAATGATTTATTAAATCGATAATGACAATTTCCTTTCAAGGCATTTCATCATATGGTGACTTGATTTCATGATTGATTAGGAAATTCAGCGTCTACATGAGCGGGAGGGGTAGGAACAGTTTGCATCCTATTTTTTTAAGGGGGTAGAAGGTAGGCTGCTTTAATGGGGGTAGGGATAGGCGTAGCCAGGATTTTCATAAGGGGGGGGGAGCCTGGAACAAATATGAAATATATTTTTATTAGTTTATATAAAATAAAAATATAATAAATTACTTGTATTGTATGTACCTTAATATAAGAGCATGGTAATAATTTATTCCAAACAATTATAAGAAATTTATTTATAAAAAGTAAGTAGACATATATTTGAGTATACTCTATTATATAGAATTAGTTATAAAATACTAGGTAAAATTCTACTTTTACAGACATATTTGACAGTTAGAGAATATATTACAGTTAATAATTTAACAAATTTTACTAATCAATGCTCTTAATATTAAATATAGCAACAATTTGCATTCAATTTTTTAACGCCATCTATTTATTTTAAGTAAAAAGATATTAAAATTTAATCATCCTATTCATCCCACAATGTCTTTAAAAGATATTTTCTGATGTCCTTGTCAATATTTTATAGTTTTCTGTAAAATATATAATTTGCTATATTGGTAAAAATTACTTGATTGTCATTTGATAATTAGATATAATGTAAATCTACGACATATAATATTCCACTGTTTGTATTGTGCTTTAATATTTTTTTAATTTATGATTTAATTTTATCAATAGTTTATAATTATATTTTACTTTTATTAAGATAAATAAATTAAAATTACTCACTTTATAAAAAATTATATTTGATATATTATATTATTTAGTAATTTTATGGATCTATTATTAATAATTATAATACATTTCACTTCTGTCTTAAAACTTATCTTTTTCTTATATTCCATTTATTAAAAAACATTTTTGGTTCATTTTATATATTTATAAATTTATTTTCCCAAAAATCTATAAATTATGATGAATAGTTTTATAAAAAAATATCAACTTTTACATTCTCTTTCAAATTATTATTTAAGATATATGCATACATATTTGAGGGTCAGGAAGTGGGGGGAGAACTAAGGGGGATATTTTTTATTAGCTAAAAATGATATTTACAAAAAGTGATAAATTTCTGAGGGGGGATTTCCCCTTGCCCCCCTTGGCTACGCCTATGGGGGTAGGTTAAATTTTTTGGGGGGTTATCTATTAAATTTTGAGATGAAATAGGACAAAATTATTGCTGTAATAGTAATACAATTCATCGACCAAATTTATATATTGCAAACAATCATACATACACATTGTTTTCCAAATAAAACTTCCTGCTATCCGTTTAAATGTAATTTAAAAGGTTTACATATTACGCTCATAATGCCATAATAATTAATTCATTGTAAATAATAGAGGTTTTAATTGAATTTATTATCTAAAAAATAAATTCTTTATATTCACAAAATATCGATAGTTGGTAGTAGAGATTGTTTAATTTAAGTTATCCTTTATTAATTTTCTGAAAAGAATATCAATAAATTTAAAAGGTAAGAATAATAATAAGGAAACACCGCCGCTGAAGGTGGAGGGAATTTTTTAGGGGGAAGGGTTTTTGGAAGGGGGTTTGCATCCAATAAAAATCCTGTCATGTAGACGCTGAGGAAATTCATATGGGAATTTTGGGATTATCTAAAATTATTGGTGATTATGGATTTAAACATGAAAATTGGAACCAAATAATTCTTACATTAAATGATGTCTTTAACAAATATTTATTAGGGACTCAAATAAGAAAATTTTTTTTTTTTAATTTTATCACTCTCTTTATTTTACCTTCTTCCAAATTATAAAAAGAATTACCTATTATTTTTAATAACCTTTTATCTCTAATACTATATTTTTTCCTCCATCTTTTTTATTACCTTAATTTATCCTCCATTTCTATTTATTTTTTAATTTACCAAAAATTTTTAAATTTTAAATTTATCCTCCATCTTATCTTTTATTTTTAAAAAAAACCTATTTTTTCCAAAACACATTTTTTTTTTCATTTGCTTTATTACTAATTTTTCTAAAAAAATAAAAATAAACATTTATATAGATTATAATATTTGCAAATATATTTACTAAATAAAAATTATTTTTTTTGGAAGAAGGAACTTTTTTACTATTCTTATTTCTTTCCTTTCCTTTGCTATACTAATTACTAACATATACAAATAGCTGGGATGTAGTCCCACCCTTTTTTACTATTACTTCTGGGTTACAAGGTTTATTGGTATCCTTGAGTAAAAAAATCGGCATAATTATATGAAGGATGGGCCTTCATATAATTCACGTACGCTCACATTTGGGCAGGTCTATGACCAACGTGCTATTAAAGATTAAAAGAAATACTCTTTCAGAAAATTTAAAAAGAATAACTTAAATTATCCTCTACTATCAACTATCGACATTTTGTGAATATAAAAAAGTTATTTTTAGATAATATCAATTAAAACCCCCATCCTACAATAAATTAATTATTATAGCATTATGAGCTTGCTGAAAATGTCTAAACCTTTTAAATTATATTTGAAAGGATAGCAGAGAGTTTTATTTCAAAAATAATGTCTATGATTGTTTGCAATATATAGATTTGGTTGATGAATTGTATTATAATAGGTCTAAATAAAAGTATTAATTTTTACAGCAATAAATTAAGATGCAAATGGTTCCTACCCCCCCCCCCCCTCCCCACTTTCCGTTCATGTAGACACTGATTCCAACCACTAACCACACTATTCAACACGATAAGCGTCAAAATGCAAGCAATCATAGTCATTTTAGAAAAAAAACTATTTATGGATAATTCCCTGCATTTTAATGTAATTGGGATAGAGGGGGGAGGGTATAGACACTGGATGGGTATAATGTGGTGTGGAAAAAATATATTTGTAGTATATGCTTTTGGATGAAATATTATTAAATAATTTAATTGTAGTTACAATATTTATATTTGTGAGGTATAGTATTCATATTATTTTGCAATATAATTGTTCTCAAATTTATTATTGCTCTGTAAAACGGTAATATTAATTATATTTACAATTATTACATAATTTATCTGATACACTACTGCCGCAACAATATATATGTTATTTATAATATTAGTATCACTATAAAAAATTAAAACATTTCAAATATTTACATAATTATTAGAATCTTAGTAAATGGTAGTAATAAAATATTACTTAAGCTTAAATAAAAATGGTTCTATTAAAATCGATTTAAAAAAAATAGTCGTCAAAGTAATTGTTTATGCAGAAAAGTATTATATTAAGAGAAACGGGGTAGCATACAAATCGATTAAACCATACGGAAAATATAATATGTCTGTAATAAAAACTAAATACAATGAGATTGATAGATAATTATATTTGTTAAATTTTTATTAATATATTTTGATAGAACACAAGTAGTGTTGTTAAAATACCCGATTTGGGTCGATTTTTAAGACCCGATTAAGATTTTAGCCATCGAGATTCGACAAATACAGGTCCATTCCTGCCAGCTATGAGCAAAATATTTAGATTTGATTATTTTATGATTATAATCTTAATTGGGCCGTTTTTTAAAATCGATCCCAATCGAACTTTTTACCCAATAATCCATTATAATTCATCATGTAGAAAATATTTTAATATCTATTTTCTTTCATAGATAAAGTTATTTATCAAATATTTTACTTACATATTCTAATTTTGTATTTTATAAATATAACACATATAATATAAAATATTTGAATTTTATTTACTACATTATCAATTATTTTAGTAATAATTATTTAACCATATTTGATTATCTTTAATTAAACTATTATTATTAAATTTTTACTCCTTTATATATTTTAATGTTATTCTTGTATATTTTAAACAGGTTTATACTTAATCTATTATGTTTTTATATTATTTAAAACATTAATTTAGTTTATGTAAAAATAATACAAATAACCAATCAGATAAAAATTTTCTATTCGTTAATTTTTTTTAATTCCACTTGATATCAATCCGCTAAATTGATTTTTAGATAAACCGTTGCAAAATTTATCAAATTTATATCATAAATATAAATTAATTTATTTATCATCTTAAATCTTGAAAAAAGGTAATTACATTCATCATATTAAATTTGATTTATAATTTTTATATCACATTATTTTGAAACTTTATAAAATCGATTTTGCAACTTCCGTTTATAAAAATTATTCGAAATATATAACAGATAATATTTTAAAATGAGAGAAATTGTTCATATACAAGCTGGGCAATGCGGAAATCAAATAGGGGCCAAAGTATATATATATTGTAGAAATTATTTTCAAATATAATATTTAGTTTTGGGAAGTTATATCTGACGAACATGGTATAGATCCAACCGGTCAATATGTGGGTGATTCACCATTACAATTGGAAAGAATTAATGTATATTATAACGAAGCTGCAGGTAAATATTAAAATAATGACTAACTATCGCGTTATTTAAAATTCATATATTAATTTTCTAGCCCAGAAATATGTTCCAAGAGCTGTGTTGGTTGATTTAGAACCAGGAACTATGGATTCAGTTAGATCTGGACCATTTGGTAGAATATTTAGACCTGATAACTTTGTTTTCGGTACATTTTTTAAAGCTTAAATTCACCTATATATGTATTTTAGGATCATCTGGAGCTGGAAATAATTGGGCTAAGGGTCATTATACTGAAGGTGCAGAACTTGTTGATCAAGTATTAGATGTTGTTAGGAAAGAGGCTGAGAATTGTGATTGCCTACAAGTTTAATCAATTGAAAATTATATATAATATATATATTTCAGGGATTTCAACTTACTCATTCATTAGGTGGTGGTACAGGATCTGGAATGGGAACCTTATTAATATCAAAGATCAGGGAAGAATATCCAGATAGAATTATGAATACATTCAGTGTTGTCCCATCACCAAAAGTAAATAATATTTTTATTTATTAGATCTGACATTTAATTTTAAGGTATCTGATACTGTTGTGGAACCATACAATGCTACCCTTTCAGTGCATCAATTGGTTGAAAACACTGATGAAACTTTCTGCATTGATAATGAAGCTCTCTATGATATTTGCTTTAGAACCCTCAAATTGACTACACCTACTTATGGAGATCTTAATCATTTAGTTTGAAATAAATATTTAAAAAATTAATAGTATTCCTTTTATAGGTATCGGCTACTATGTCAGGTGTGACCACTTGTCTACGCTTCCCTGGACAACTTAATGCAGATCTAAGAAAATTAGCTGTAAATATGGTTCCATTTCCACGTCTCCATTTCTTCATGCCTGGATTTGCCCCTCTTACATCCCGTGGCAGTCAACAATACAGAGCTTTAACTGTTCCAGAACTTACTCAACAAATGTTTGATGCTAAGAATATGATGGCAGCCTGTGATCCTAGACATGGTAGATATTTAACTGTAGCTGCTATGTTCAGAGGACGCATGTCAATGAAGGAAGTTGATGAACAGATGCTTAATATACAAAACAAAAATTCTAGCTACTTTGTTGAATGGATACCAAATAATGTCAAAACTGCAGTTTGTGATATTCCTCCTAGAGGTCTAAAAATGGCTGCTACATTTGTGGGTAATAGCACTGCCATTCAAGAACTATTTAAACGCATTTCAGAACAATTTACTGGTACATATATATCTTTTAATTCAACACAAATTATATTTATAAATGATGACACATAGTTCAACAGATTTAAACAATGAAATAAAAATCATCTGAATATATAAATTATTTACCTTATATAATATAAAATAATTGATTAACCTATTTTAACAAATTTAGCTATGTTCAGAAGAAAAGCTTTCTTGCATTGGTACACAGGGGAAGGTATGGATGAAATGGAATTTACTGAAGCTGAATCTAATATGAATGACTTAGTTGCAGAATACCAACAATACCAAGTATAATTAATATCAAAATATGTTTGATTTAAAAAAAAATAATTCCTCTTTTCTCTAAATTAGGATGCCACAATAGAAGAGGATGCTGAAGAAGAAGAAGAGGAGGAGGATGAAGTTGAACAAGCCTAAATAATTTGCCAATGCATGCATATCTCAAATTACTCATTTGCTACTAATATATACATTTTTCTGAACTTTATAGCCTTAACTCAATATATTTTATTATTGTATTTATGAACATATTTTGTATTGTAGTTATTTTTTACAGTCTAAAATATCTTTTAAAGACCAACTTTATTTTAAATGATTGTATTGTAAACAATGTAAAATTTTAATAAAGATTTTTTATACAAATAAAATATGTGTATATGCCTTAAGAAAATACGAAATATTATAAAGGCTAGACAAAAAAAAATTTAACAGGCTGGACAATTCGTGAATAAACAATCAGGCCAAACTTTGAAAATAAGAATTTATAGAGGTTGAATATTTCAATATGGCCGACAGGGAATGAGTAAGTGCGCCAATTGAATAATTAGTGTTAAACGACTCGATTTTTAAAAACGGCTAACTCAATATTTTATCTAGAATAATATTAGGCAAGTCTGAAGATTTTGCTCATAGATGGCACAAAAGTTTAGACATCAATTAGCGAAATCTTGAGGATTTAGCAATATTTTTCTAGCTAAAATTTTGAGTTAACCGTTTTTAATAATCGGCTCAAAACGAGCCTTTTAACAACACTACGAATAATACTATTAACATTATGAGCTTTTAATTTAGAGAAATGTCTAACTACATTAAGTCTATTAAAAGAGGTATTACTTATTTTATAGAAACTTAGCCTGCATTTTATATAATTTTATGGCAAGCTTGAGTATCTTAAACTTTGATGAAATAAATAAATCCACAAAGAAAGTTATTTTTGATATAATTTACTTAAAAAGGAACAATACCGATATCAAAAATATATTTATAAAACGGTTGTTATAGAAATAAGATAACCATAATCGAAGAGATATAAGCGCCTTAATTGACATTAGGAAAAAAATTTAAATAATATGATGACCAGAAAATTATTACAAAAAAATTTAATGGGCCATGCTAGACTTTTAAAGTTTTAATGGGTTTGGTTTTGCTTTTCGCTAAATTTTACCGGGCTGGTAAATTCCTGGCTTCAATACGCCAGACATACCAGACCAAACTTTGCAGATCTCTGGTACAAATCAAATAATTCCTTATCCACATGAATACCAAAAATATTTCCAAAAAAAAAATAGATTAAGATTTTTAAATAATTTATTAGAGCTGGAAATAAAGTTTTAAAGAAAATTAATTTTGCACTAGATTCTGACCTCATTTCAAAACTTATTTTTATTAATAATTATTACATTTTTATAATTAGGCCTCAAGCAAACTATCAATTTAAAGATGAGTTATTTAAATTGCAGTCATTCATTGAGCTTGATAAAAATTTGGTCTCGATTTTATGAGTTTCAGTAAAAAATATAACATGAAACTATTTTTATCGAGGAAAATAAAAATTAATTGGCTTATTTTTTATTTAATTAGGTTTTAACACCAAGGTAAGGAGGGATACCTTAACCTTCAAAAAGGACTAAAAACGGGTAAAATATCAAATTGTTAAAAAAAGAAGAAAACGCTGGGAAAATAAAATAGAGGCTCGGACATAAGACCTCTCAAAAATTTAATAAAATGATTATACATTTATTTAAATAAATTTTATATTTTGCATTCTATTTTCTATTCCATATTTTAATCATGTTATTTATTTTTTAAGTATTTTCTAATTCAATTTAAATGTGAAATTTATTTTTATTATTTCTAAAATAAACTTTAAAATCAATCTTCTATTGAATACAAACTTTGTATAAAAGTTATAACAAAACATTAGATTTATATAATTTTATTGATTATTTTATTTAGCGCGGTATGGTGGCTATTAAAAGAAAATTTTGTACTCGAAAAAAAAATCAATAAGACTAGACTGTTCTTAAAAAAAGTTAAAATTCTTGTCACCCCTTTAAAAAAAACCAAACTCTTTTTAATCCAATAAATTTAAATATTTTAATATAAATTTAGGGCTAAATGAAATGTATATAAAACGCCAAACGTCCGCCTGGATCCGTTAGAGCCCTCTAAGCATCCCGTTCTATGCATAGCGTCTTTAGCATGATCCGTTTTTCAAAAAAAAGAGACATAAAATAATTGGTTTTAAACTCGAATGCGAAAATTGAAAAGAACAATAATTTTAATTTATACAGATATTTTATAGTTTAGTTGATGAAATATAACATTGTATTTATATTATGAGTTTAAACAATTGTATTATCTATTAAAAAAAAATTTCGATGCGGAATAATTTAGGACGGGAACGCGTCTAACCTAATTTCTCAGCTGATTTCCTGTTCAAATAGTGTTCAAGAGAAACGAATGATTAAATATATTAAAGATAAACATTAGACGGCATAATAGATATATAAGAAAGAAAAAGAAATATTATTCATTACCTAAAATAAAAGGTAATAAAATTTCAGACATATAACTATATAATAAGCAACCACGTTCTTATCATTAACTAAATTACCATAATAATCATAAAACCGTTTAAAATTTATTATTATAAAAATTAATTATTTATTCTTAAATTTTAAGAATTAACGAGAGCCTTTCTTTTGCGAATCTCATTTTAAAATTTTAAATACACCAGACAAATCGAAGTTTTATAATTAGCTCTTTGTGCCGGATTCTTATTTTATAAATAGGTCTGATCCGAAAGAAGATGAAAATTTATATTTTTGAAAATAATATCTTTTAAAATTATAAAGAAAACAATAAATATAATGTTTCATTTTATGATATCAGACGTGACTCAGAGTTTTCAAATCTGGACTTAGGGACTGATATCTTTAGGCGTTATGGATAGGTTATGGCGTATAGTTTTTTTGAGAAATTTTTATATGGGATGCTTTTTCCGAAGTAATTTTATTGGAAAATCATTTCCCACCCGATCTTTCCTATTTAATTTCGCCAAATATCTCCATTATTTGGAATGGCGTTGGTTCAACTAATATTGAATGCATATACATACTTAGATATTTTTATCGTGTCATAATGTTCTAAAAATATTAGTCAAAAAAAATGATATATAAAATGCAGAAATTTCAGATTATACTTTAAAAAAAATTGTCTGGTAATTTGCCTTATTTAAGAAATATTTCGGATAATGCCCGGCCAGAAAAATATTTTTCACAAAATTGGTCCACTTGGCCAAAATTATTATTTTTGCCTGAGTATGAGAACTCCCTCTAAAGATTTTTTATGCCAGAACCTTGCAAAACTCGCATGTGTTCTTGTGTTAGGCACATCGTAAATTGAAATGTTAATTTTTTTTCTCCAAAATTTCAAACTAAAATTTATTTCAATTTGGCAAAAAAAAATTATATAAATAAACGTTAAATTGTTTTTGTAATGGATTGATCATAATATCTGTAGACAGATTATATATATTTTCACATTACATTATTATATTAAATAAAATATTAAATAATATATAATTAATATACAATAAATTTTTTTAAACCATGACCTTATGTAAAGTTATATAACAACCACAAAAAAAAAATACAAAATGCTTTTAAAACTTCTTTCTTTTCATTTCTTTTCATGATAGAAAGAAATTAATTTTTTTAAAACATGGTCGAGCTCGAGTGCGTGTTATTCAACTCGATTATTTTCATATTTACAAGGATGAATAATTGTCACAAATATTTTTCCAAATTGAAATCGTAAACAATATGTGGTGGCGTGATGTATTATTATTATATAAAAATATAAACATGGTGACAATTCAATTTGTAAAATCATTTACTATTCCCTTTCTACCTTTCTCCCCTCGTTCGAAATATATCGCGCTCTATATGTACGACAGGCTTTAAGGCTTGCACGATTTAAAAAAAAATGTTTTACAACCGAATTTTTTCTAAATAATACTAAGGAAACTTGGAAATTTTTAATGGGAGTGGAGCAGAGATTTCTCGTTGCCTTTTACAAATATATTTATCCCCTGAAAAAAGTTCTTTAAATATTGTAAAAAAATAATGACAAAAATTTTCCCAAAATTTCTTTTCGTATTTTTTTTTATATAATGAGGTTGGTGTTTCAAAAAAAAGTCACTATTAGTATAGCTTAGAATTTGAGTCTGGACTAAGCAACCAACTTCTTGGATAAGATTAGAATTATGGTCAAAGAGCCGCCAAAATGATAACAATTTTTTTTTTTTTCATTTCTGAAGAACTTATGTCCGAGGGATTTATGATTGAGAATTCTTTTGATTACGCAAAATAAAATATTTTAGGAAAAACATTATTGGGTTCCTAAAAGGAACAATTGTTAAATTTTAAAAATATTGATTTGTAGATTCTATCTAAGGAATAGTAATTCCCTAGGTTCAAGTGTTTGCGATTTAATTTTGTGAACTACATTTTTTAAAAAAAGCTAAATGTTATAGGAGCGCGAACTTTCCAATGGTAGACGTTTCTATTGATGAGAATATGAAATTGCGGAGGCTTTTGTGTTTTCTTATTTTCTAAGTCCCTGCTTGAGTCAGGTTGCTATTAATATTAGTGGAGAAGGATGGGACACATATAATCCTAAATAAGGGATTTGTCCATAGCCCCAGGGGATAATGGTCTGTTGAGAGGTTGCAGAGTTCTGGAATATTAGTATGCGCTCTTTTTTTAATAGGAGACTTAATAATTAATTTGTTTATTATGCTAATGATATTATTACCTATGTTTTTTTTTGTTATATATTTGTATTGTATAGTGTTATAGATTGATTTTCAAATTTTGGGTATCAAAAATTTGAATCAAAAATTATTTATTTTTTTTAGAAAGGGGGGGGGGGAGGTAAGTAATTGAAATTTAGTCATAAAAGATATTTAACTAAGGAAGAATAAATATTATTTTATTTTTTATATATAAATTTATAAAATAGGACGATTGGAAAAACATGCTCCATATCTTTAGATTCCGCGTATATTAAACTATGCTTTACACAGTCCCTCTAGAACCCCTTCCCAAAAAGCAAGTGGCGCTAAGTGCCCTTCGTCTCCTTCACTGACTTTATTTGCGGACTAATAAAGTAACTCCTTCTTGAGATACCTCCATAAAATTTTATACACAATAGCATGCCCCCCCCCCGTGCGTGTAATACATCCATATTTTACAAGAGGTCTACGTTACCCGACCTGAAGATAATAAACGGGTTATAATTTCGCGAATTTTATTTAAAAAAAGCTTATAATTAGGTAAATTTGTCCTCTTTTTATTTCTTC